ATATGGTGGAGTCTAATAATGGTGGAGTTCTAAAAGTCCTACTTTTATACACTTGCAGGGGGTATTATAATTTTGTCCAAAAGTGTGCAATGCAGTGAAGGAGACATCTCCGACCCTATAAAGTATATATATTCTTGATCAGGATCACCGCCTGAGTTGATATGAGCACGTCCGTCTGTCCGTCTTTCTGTTTCTACGCGAACTAGTCTCTCAGTTTCAAAGCTATCAACTTGCACACACCCTTCTTTCCTTTGCACGCAGTATATAAGTCGGAACGACCGGGATCGGCCGACTATATCCTATAGCTGCTATATAACTGATTGATCGGAAATGGTATAATAATTGCAACAAAAAAGGGAATATTATAAACAAAATCATTGATAGTAACGGTCTTGTGGTTCTGAACGATGGCTACACGACTAACTTCAGCACTCACAACACCTTTATCCAAATCGACATTTCACTTTGCTCACCTAACCTTGCTCCATATGCAAACTGGGAAATTCATCAAGACCTCCATGGCTGGTGGAACCATAAGCTAGCACTTCTTCGTAAAAAAAAAACAAAAACTATGGCACAAATTAAAAACAATATTACTACGAAAACTTAATTGACTACAAAAAAGACAATGCATTCTTCAAAAGAGAATTAACATTAGCTATAAAATGATTTACAAGCAATCTCCTACCTTAAGATTATTTGGAATAACAATAGAAGATTTTGTGGACAAGATCGTCTATACCCATTCACTGTGTTTGGTCATTGAGGGTTTTCAATGCCGTAATCCGCACCAAAATAAAAGACGAATTTAAGTAATTTTAAAACGATAAAAATATGTTTATTTCTGCATGCAGATGAAGCTGGATGATCAGCAGAAGACTAGCTTATGGTGCATGCAGAGACCCAAGTAATGTACAGAGAGGGCGGGCCGACTAGTCATTGCGAAGCTAAAGCTCTCGATAATGGAGAGGGCGGCCCGACCTAGACGTTGCGGAGCTAAAACTCTCATTTTTTTTGAAAGAAAGGCCCATTGAGTCGAGCGGCCGGCTTGCGACCAACTAACCGATTTGTACAAACTAAAGCCTAATAAATAAACATTATTCTAAACGTTACATTAACATATTATTTAAATATTTACATTAAACCGCTGTGCTGCTGCCTGACCCGACACACTGGATTTTCAAAAATGACCAAAAACGCCATTTTTTAACTTTTCAAACACAATTTTTTTTTTGTGAAGAATACAAAATTTTAGAACTTCACGCGGCTCTCAGCAAAGTAAAAGGCAAAACTCCAGGATGTGTCAGGATTATATACGACATGATTAAAAACATAATAATATCTTTTGCAAAACATAGAATGGTACAATTTTATAATAATATCTTTCAGGATTGAATACCGCAAAACTATAAACTGAGTATTGTTATGCCAATTGCTAAACAAAACTCTGACAAAACCTTTCTTAATTCGTATCGTCCCACTTCACTAAACTCTTGATTTGCTTAAGTTCTCGATACAATTATAGCCAACAAACTATTGAATAAGAATCAGTTTGGGTTCATTAAAGGTAAATCGGTATCTGAAGCTTTACTTATGGTAGAACGACTGATCACTTAATCTTAACAGAGGAAAAATCATATCTCATTATTATCTCATTATGGGATATGATTTTTCCTCTGTTAAGATTTAGAATTCATACAAATTTAAATACAATACAATGCCGGCCACCAATTATTGGATATTTAAAAAAACTTCATGACAAAACGGAAAATAAAAATGAAAATAAAGAATGTTTTCTCCAGAACGTTAGACCGTTTGTTCATAATGGCATCCCTCCAGGGATCACCACTATCAATTATTATTTTTGCAGTCGCTTATAATAAACTATGCGAAAAATCCAAACTCACAAAGAAATATCGGTTTTGCTATAACGCTGACGATTTCAACATCATTCGGCCTCTTGATAAACCTAATGCAAGAAACATAATGGAGAAATGCAATCACATACACAATATGTAGGAAATATAACTGTAGGTGTAAAGCCATTACATTAGTATTTAATATATCAGATGTTGACACCCCCGAAATTCTCGGACTTACAATAAAAAAAAATACGTGAATACGTGAATTTATAACCACAAGTGAACTTAAGTATGTATTCAAGAGCGTTGACTCTCCACTCTTGACTGTCTCTCTCCAACAAATCCGAAATCCGAATAATTAATTAATAAATAAATGCGTTTCTCTATATACCATAATTTGCCCGTTACTTCACCAAAATTCATGCACAATAAAAAGAGGCTTGCTCTAGAGAACTCCATATGACATCCAATTTTAACTTTCAAGACATCAAAAGATACCTTCCTTCAAAAACATTTTCCATGAATTTTTTTTAGAAACTTAACCTTGGAAATACACAAAAATAAAGAAATAAAAATATAATCTTCATAGACCTGACTTCCAAAAAACACACCTACAATATAAACGATATAATTTCACCAGAATTCGCTTATGTCTATCCAGACTCACAAACGCAAATCTTTTTGGCCGTAATCCGGTATCAAATTGCCAGTTCTGCAATAGTACGAAAAACACGATAAAACATGACCTAACCGACTGCTTAAAGTTCACATCCATTAGAAACAATATTCCAAGACTCCGATCCTATCAATTTCCTCCTATCATCAATTTCCAATCCCACAATAGAATCCTTTAATAAAATCACACATTGTCTAAATAATACAAGAACATGTAACATAATATAATTTATAGTTTAAATTGTACATTTATAAGCAACATATTCTATCAACACAAACAACCAATCTAATACCTACATAATTACATTATTATTATCGCTATGGCTTTAGTCATAAATTACCTAGTAATTTTAATTAAGAGGTAATTATTTAATAATAATAGCAAAAAATATTTTTTTCAATTTTTGAATTTTTTTAAATCAATACAAGATCACCAATCTAAAGAAATTTCTTCGGGTTATTAGTAGAAGTGTATTTGTAAATTTGTTTGTAATGTGAAGGTGAGAAAACATCTGTTCTAAAGGCAATTCTTAGTTTATTTTTTTTTTTTTATTATCAATCAATCAATAGTTATATTTAAAATCTGTCCGGAGATATGGACAATAATTAAATTTTATAATGGGACCTTAACTTAATGAAATATTGAGTAGTACAATGTTTGCTTATCCTAGGAAGTTTATTCTTAGTTTATACCGATTTTTAACAACCAATACATTTTTCAGTTTCAGAGTCAATTTTCAAAAGAAATTATCTGTCAAATTAAATCAATTTGTTTCAAATCGTTTTCAGGTTTTGATTTAATTTAATTTAGGGGTGTGCAAATAAATAAGCACAAATAAAAGTAAGAGTGTATTAGAGAGAGAATAAAACTTCTGCTGCATAAAAAATTATTTAAGAAGATTTATTATTTATAAATTATTTTATAATAATATTGAAAATGAAAAATATTTTCCCGACTTCTTGCTGTTTTTTGATAAATTTTTTTTATTTTTAGGTATATTTATTTAGGTCTTAAATAATTCTTATGCAGCACACTCAACGATTCGCTTAACGCAGAAATTTGATTCTCTCCCTAATAAACTCTTTCTTTGGTTTGTGCTCCTTGTATACACCCCTGAACTAAATTAAATCAAAACCTGCGAACGATTTAAAACAAATTGGTTTAATTTGACTAAAAATTTCTCTTGAAAATCGACTTTTAAACTGAAAATTTATTGGTTTTTAAGAATCGTAAATGCGGAGAACTGCTTGACAGACAAATAATCCGAACCAATTTATTTAGATTGGTAAAATAGCTCAGAGAATAATCATTATTTAGTTATTTTTAAATTAACAAGAAAGAAAAGCTAACTTAGGCTTAGGCGGAGCCGAAGTTGATATACCCTTGCAGTTAAAACCGCATATATATTGCAAACATCAGATATAGTTGGCCGATCCTTATGAGAATATCATAATAAAATTAGTTCATACAATACATAATTTGAAACAAGAAAGGAAAGCTAACTTCGGGCGGAGCCGAAGTTTATATACCCTTGCAGCTAAAACCGGATATATATCGCAAACTTCGGCGGAGCCGAAGTTTATATACCCTTGCAGCTAAAACCGGATATATATCGCAAACATCGGATATAGTTGGCCGATCCTTATGAAATTTGGTAGGATGGATCAAAATATAATCTGTACCAAGTTCCAGCTTTCTATCTTCAAAAACACAAAAGTTGGGTCATTTCCGATCGTTCAGTTATATGGCAGCTATAGGATATAGTCGGCCGATCCTAATGAAATTTGGTAGGTTGGATCAACTAACCAAAAATAGAGTCTGTACTAAATTCCAGCTTTCTATCTTCAAAAACACGAAAGTTAGGTCATTTCCGATCGTTGAGTTATATGGCAGCTATAAGATATAGTCGGCCGATCCTTATGAAATTTGGCATGTCGTATTATTTTGCCAAAAATAGCTCTCATGTCAAATTTGAACTCTCTAACTCTAAAAACACCAAAGTTATACCATTTCCGATCAATCAGTTATATGGCAGCTATAGGATATAGTCGGCCGATCCCGGCCGTTCCGACTTATATACTGCGTGCAAAGGAAAGAAGGGTGTGTGCAAAGTTTCAAGACGATAGCTTTAAAACTGAGAGACTAGTTTGCGTAGAAACAGACAGACGGACAGACGGACATGCTCATATCAACTCAGGAGGTGATCCTGATCAAGAATATATATACTTTATAGGGTCGGAGATGTCTCCTTCACTGCGTTGCACACTTTTGGACAAAATTATAATACCCTCTTCAAGGGTATAAAAAAAGTCCTAAGCTTCTATCTTCCAAAATAGCAAAGTTGGTATTTTTACCAAATCCAAATACCTTTTCAGATGTTTCAGTTATATGGCAGCTATAAAATATAGTCGGCCGATCATTATGAAAGTTGGTAAGTCGTATTATTTATAATTCATGCAAAATCCGAAGTTTCTAACTCTAAAAAAAGCTACAGTTATAGCATTTCCGATCAATCAGTTATATGTTAGCCGATCTAGGATAGGGTATAGTCGTTCCGACTTATACACTGGGTGGATAGAAAAAAAGGGTGTGTGCAAAGTTTTAAGTCGTTAGCTTTAAAACTGAAAGACTAGTTTGCTAGAGACTAGAAAGACTAGAAACAGGCAGACGGACATGCTCAGGAGGTGATCCTGATCAAGAATATATATACTTTATAGGGTGTCGATACGGAGGTGTCTTCTTCACAGTGTTGCACACGTTTGACCAAAATTATAATACCCTCTGTAAGAGGGTAAAACTTACTATTTACGGTCCCTGCTCAGAAGACGAATAGGTACTCAGTCAAGTCCGTTTGGTTTTACTGATGCGTATTACATTTAATAAGAGGAGCCAAATGATTATATTATATATGTAATTTTATAACATCGTTTAAATAATTTGTCAAATTTTAAAAATTTTTATGCAACATACCCCTAAACACGAAAGAGATTCTAGCTAGATTAATCATAGAACCGGTTATTATTGTCACTGATGATAAATTTTTGCAAAACTATTTTATTGGTGATTCAAATTTTTGTTGTTTATAGTTGTTTCGAGTACAAGCGGTGAAATTATACATAATAAATATATTTATTTTAATAAATATAATTGAAAATTTTTTTTGTTCAAATATAATTGAACAAAAATTGTTATTTGTTCACTTTCAACAAAGAGAAGGTCATCATTTAGTAGTTTATTACAATTAAATTTAAGTTATGTAAATATCAAGTTATCTGAATTTTCTGATGCATTTCTGTTTTTATTTGCAATCCTGGAACCAAACTGTATAGCTTTTTTTTTAAAAAATGCAACTTCTTTTAGCCCCATTCTGTATCCATACAATCTTAATAGCAATTTGTCGCCGATACCTTCGGGAAGAGTAAAGCAACATTTTTGATATGGTTCCAAAGATCTTACAAATGCTACAAAGTTTTCTTCAAGAAATGGCGCACGAGCTGTTTTTCCGTTATCTGCAATTACACGATCATCTCTGGCTAAATTACGGGCTGGTAATCGTTGCCAGTCTACATCAAGTTCTCTTTTAACAGCATTATGTCGGATGGATTCCTCACCATGACAACGAATATAAGAGTTACGATGACGAGTGTAACCACCAAATAATTCATCGGCTCCGCTTCCTATAATAGCAACTCTAGAAGTTGAACTAGAAGAATGCGATGCGAACCAAAAGGCACACCCTAAACTCTCATCTAATATCTTTTGAAGTGGATATATTAGGTTTTTAATATGTGAAGAAAGGATTCTTGCTAATTCCAACCGAGTTACATTAACTTCCAAGAGGGTCCAGCACCGTCCTGGACAAATGCGTTTTAACTCATCGACAGATTTTAAACAAGTTTTGCGGTCCGGAACATTCCAAGCTTGCTCAAGATTACTTGTTTTTAAGTTATATTCAAATGCAACATTTATAAGCTCTATTGGTTCTTCTATTGGAAGTAATTTATGAGATATCAACGCCAAAATAGTACAATCGATTCCGCCAGAAAATAAAATACAAATCTTAGCATGTCTGCATTCATTTGATTTATGTTTTAGGCAAATAGAGCAAAATGGGGGCTTACTTTTAATACGAGCATCGACAGAAGCACAAAGAAGTTTATCTAGTTTGTCAAGTGCAATTTTAATTTGAGGCTGAATTATCATGTTATCACAGAGTGTTTTGAAATTGTCGATATACTCATAATTATAAAAACTGTAGTTCAATGGAGTTTCGTTACCTAATAGCCAAGAAGGAGATATGCTTTTTTTTACTTCTGTTTTCCAATTTAATGCCAGATCAACGACCTGAATAAGATGTCCCGTATACTCATTAATTGGTTGCCATGGGTATAATACACACGATGATAAATCATTAACTCGTAATTGATAGAGGCCCAACGGTGGCAATTCAATAGAAGTTATTTGTTCTGTGACGTAGTGGCGAGAGGTACTTAATAAATTTAACCCAGAATGATGGCGTTCAATAATTAATGAATTTCTTCCTAGGGTATCACGTGCAAAGTATAACATTTGATTGCGCTTATTATAAATTATTAAACAAAAAGGTCCTTGCAACACTTTGACTAGGGATACTAGATCTTCATGGGTATAGCATTCGGAAATTCTGTTCGCCAACCAAGTTGTATCTGACATAGACACTGATTTTTGAATATTATATAAATCTCCATTAAACAATATTATAAAATCATTTTTAACCACTGGTTGTTTTTCCAAATTTGCTCCCTGTTGCCATAGTACAAAACCAGCGAAAAATATTAGTCCAGCATCATGATTCAATAATATCTCGTTATGCGCGTCTGGTCCTCGCTTTTTCATAGTTAATTTGAGTGAATTATACATTTTCCAAAAATTTATTTGGCTGTTTAAAGATATTGTGCAAAATATCCCGCACATGTTGAGAAATATGTATGTAAATAAAACCAATTATACATATGTAGAAATTAGGGATGTAAAAAATTTATCAAAATATCAATATATCGATATTTTTTGAATTAAAATAAATATTTATATCGTGATAATTTTTTACGGGATTTATCGAATATCGTTATTTTTTCAAATATATTTTTGATATCCACTCATTGGTCACACTGAGCTAAAACACGAGACGAACTACACGTATGAAAATGAGCGCGAAGGATTTTTATTGAGAAATAAGAGACACTTCTGCAAAATGCAATATTTGCAGTAAACTAATAAAACAAATAAATGTGTGTGTGGGTGTGGACATAAAATTAATTCGTTTTTATTTGGTTTATTAGTTTTATATTAAGATTATTTAATGAATTGGTTAATTTTTTGTTTTTCCAAACAGATATAAAAAATGTTAATACTATGTATACTATATATACTATATATATATAACTACTGTACTTTATATATATATAAGAACTTATGAGTTTTTAGTTTTTATAAGAAATGAATATATTAAATGTTACTTATGAATTAAATGCAACAAAACAAACCTATTTTTGGGAGCTTAAAAAAATCTATTTTAATATCAAAAATACTCGATATATCGATATTTTTCGTGATATTTAAAAAAATCACGATGATATTTTTCAAAAGTGCAAATATTATTGATACGATATTTTTGAAATATCATGCAACCCTAGTAGAAATTCTAAAATAGAGATGGTAAAACATTGATAAAAAAATCGTTGCTATATTCCCGTTTAAAGCTAGATCTAGCTTGAATATATGTATTATTATTGAATGTATGAATTGAAAAAAGAGTCCAGAATTTTCGTTCGGTAAGTTTTTTGACTTAATTTTATAGAGAAAATTTTATTTTTAGACCTGAGCTTGAATTTTTAATACGAATTGTAAAAGGAACATCTTTTTGAAATCAGAACTGAATCAAACTTTCATATCAAAGGTGAAATAAGCTTAAAGCTTAGTACTGAGTTGACGAAAATCCCCTGTCGAACGAGTGACAGCTGTCAAACTCCATATAAAAAAAACGGTGTAAAAAAAGGAAGAAGAAGAAATTTTTGTCTTCTAGATTTTGCGGGTACTGAGTTGACGAAAATTTTTGTTGTCGATTTGAATGGAGCTGCCGGATCAAAAAAAAAGAAACACCTGATCTCGGGGAGTTGAAAGAAATAATTTCATTTATTTCTATAGGTGAAACATGGAGGAAAAATTGATGAAACAAAAAAATAGTCGGCCCGAAAAATTTTCGACGCGCCAGGAGAAATTAAAATTAATTTCTGCGGTCAAGGCGAAGCCCATAATATGGGATTTGACCCACAAGGGGCATTTTAATGCCATAAAATGGCATTGAAATGATTTTTGATTGATTTTGATTTTGATTTTGACCCAGTTTTCTTTTTCTTAATCAGCTCCTTAGCGGCGAGATACATCAACAAAACACCAACATCCAATTGATTTGAATTCATTTTTGCTTATTGGTTTTTTGTTTACAAACAACAGCTGTTCAGTATTACCATATTTCTTAATTTTTTTGGTCACACTAGCTCGGTAGCTGAATAAAGTTCGATATCGTTAGCGGATTTTCGACAGCGGATTTTCGTCAACTCAGTACTAGGCTTTAAATAAAAAAACATGAAACAGGCGTCTAATAAAGCATATGAACCAGGCTACTTTTTAAGAGGGTAGTTTTAGTTTTTTTATAAAAATATTTAGCTTACCATGAATGCCAAATAAACCTACATTCGAATTAACTCTATACAAAATACACTGAATGAATCAACTGCGTAGCCGTTTCAATTAGAGTACAAAATTAGCACAAAGTTAAAACGATGAAGAAAGAAGTAATGGCATTATAATGTGAAAGAACGAAGCCAACTCATCGAATGCCAAACCGTTTTTTTTTGTTTTCCCAAAACAGAAAATACTAAAATTAAACTTAATTAATTTTTTTGTAGAAAATGAAATTATAAATGTAAAATATATACATTTTTATGGGAAGGTAGAGAGAAGGATTTTTATGAGAAGGCCGCTCATAAAATGTTTACTTTTATCTAATATTTTTACAGTCCCTTATCACTACAACACAAAATAAAAAAATTAAAATAAGCTCATAGCGCATCAAATATTTGTACATATGTATTTCATATTTTCATATTCATGTTTAAATAAATTGTGGAATTTTGTGCAATCACTCCAGTGATTGACCTGGAGCCTTATTAATGGTCATTGCGAACGCCAAACGAATGGAAAACTGCAATCTCTTGAACTGATACGGTGTATCAGTCGGGATCAGAGGAATCTTAGGAATGAGGACATCTTCACCTTTGAAAGGACCAGTTATGATCGTTGCTTCTACTCCGTTGTTTATCAATTTCTTGACGGCGAAACGCGTACCGTTGCAGAGTTTTTGCTGATTTATATTCCGGAGCATGATAATCGGCACACCTAATTTTAGTTCCAATATGTGTGGTGGCATTCCAGGCAGATTAAGTGAGTTTAGGAATACCATAGGGTAATTAACTGCTTCCGTGCCATGACCGTGCCGAGACGTGGAGTGCACGTCTGATCCCTCTGCCGAGACGTGAAGGGCATGGCCGATCCTGCCGAGACGTAGAGTGCCCGGCTCATCCCCGTGCCGAGACGTGGAGGGCCCGATCCATCTGCTGAGACGAAAAGTGCCCGGCTGATCCCCGTGCCATGAGGTAAAGGCCCTGCCCGATCCATCTGCACACCTGACGTTTCACATGAGGACAAAAAAAAATAAAAACAAGAAAGGAAAGCTAACTTCGGGCGGAGCCGAAGTTTATAAACCTTTGCAGTTAAAACCGGATATATATCTCAAACATCGGATATAGTTGGCCGATCCTTATGGGAATATGAATATATAATCCAATTTATTACAATACAAAATCTAACAAAAGTTCCAAACTTCTATCTTCAAACATACCAAAATTGCTATTTCTACCAAAAACCATTTCCGATCGTTCAGTTATATGGCAGGTATAGGATATAGTCGGCCGATGAAATTTGGTAGGTCGCATTAACTGACCAAAGATATAATCTGTACCAAGTTCCAGCTTTCTATCTCCAAAAACACGAAAGTTGGGTCATTTCCGATCAATCAGTTATATGGCAGCTATAGGATATAGCTGATCCCGGTCGTTCCGACCTATATACTGCGTGCAAGGGAAAGAAGGGTGTGTGCAAAGTTTCAAGTCGATAGCTTTAAAACTGAAAGACTAGCTTGCATAGAAACAGACAGACAGATGGACATGCTCATATCAACTCAGGAGGTGATCCCGATCAAGAATATATATACTTTATAGGGTCGGAGATGTCTCCTTCACTGCGTTGCACATTTTTGACCAAAATTATAAAACCCTCTGCAAGGGTATAAAAAAAAATTTGAAAAGTAAATTGAAAATTTAACACGTTACTTTTACTTTTTGTCAAAAAAAAAAAAGTTCAAAAAGATGAGACCGGAGACTGCATGTATATGTAGATATTTAGTATATATTTTTATAAATTGTTCTAAATAAAATTAAAATAGTAAGTAGAAACAAAAATATGTTAACCTACATATGAATATATGTATATTTATCACTTTCCTTGCTTGCACGATTGAAAAAATTTAATATTTCTAACAAATGTCGAATCGGGATAACTTCGAAATTCTGAAGCAGTAAAGGGCTGCCTGAATTTGTTTTAGTTTGCTTAGGTATAAATTCGTGATTAGTTTGTATTTTTCAATCCAATTATGACTTTATGGCAGTCGGCAGGGCCCTATTCCAGGCGCATACAAAATTTCTCTGCCCGAGCTCTGTCACACACACACAGTATAAGTGTGTGAAACATCATGCTCGCAACTTACTCTCTAATATTCGTTACTAATACTAATGCGTTAAAATAATATCAATGTACTGAGTGCCGACCACTGCCTTACGGCTACAAAGTTGAGGTCTGCAGGAATTTTTAGCGGCAAAATTGTGCTGGAAAGTTATTTATTAATAAATATTGAACATAATTTTACATTCATATACATAAGTAAAATTGTAAAATAAAATATACAGCTTAGTAATTAATATTTTTGAAAACAAAACAATGACTTACTTCCACTTTTGAATTATTTTATTATCAGCGTCTAAAAAAACAGGCAGCGTCTAATAATTCGAATGCGAACTGCAACTCGAACTCATTCAATTCGGTTTTTATCCCCCAAATGTTGTGCGAGTGAGTCCTACACAGTCGTACTCACTCATTCATTAATTTTCGTCTCAGCATTCTATCTCACTCAATTCATTTTCAAGGTTGTGCATTTGAATGTCGTTTTTTATCTATTCATGCAGATCTCAACTACAAAGAGACATAATGCATTGCATAGTTGTCTTAGTGGAATCAAAATTTTTTGTGATTCTAAAGACATTGAAGCATCAAGCATCAATTTTCTTTTTGGCCGATGGTTTTTGATGTTTTTTGTAGATATTGAAGCTTAGTAGTTAGATTAGCTTAGTGAAGTCACTTAGCTAAGTAGTCAGATTAACAAAAAACATTTTTTCAACTATGAGGGAAAAGGTGAAAACATTTTCTCGATCCAGTACTTAGATCGAAAGAAATGACAGAAATTTCTATGGTTAATTTTATAACGCATCATCAATGGGCGTTTTACAGGTCTCTAGTGCAAAGATTAAAAATATAAATCTTTCATCCCGTTTGGGGTCAGTTATAGACTTGCAGAAGTCAGTAGTAGTGTAAATACGAACAGGCTACGGTCTTCGAAAGAATTCGTTCGCACTGGAAAATGAACAGGTCTTTGCGCGTCAAACCCGTTTTTCGATGTGAGCACTGGCTTAATTCAGCTAAATATTATAACGAAAATATAGGTAACATTTTGCAAAAATTAGTAGATTAATTTTATTATCGTATAACATTTATTACGTTCTGGTTTTCTAGTGCAAAATCTACAGAAGGCCTGGACAGCCCCTGGGGGCGTCTAAGCCTACTTCGGTTTTTACACAGACAGTAGCCAAATTTTTAATTTTCGGCTTAGTTCCAGATATGGGCATAATTTAAACTTAAACTTATTAAGTTTCTCCCTACATTCGGCGTATGCACTGGCTCACTTGAAATTTACTGAAAATATTGAAATAAAATTTTAAAAAATATTTTCCCGACTACTGGCGTTTTTAGGTAAATTATATTTATCTTTCGGTAAATTATATATTTATAAATATATATTTTTCTAAATATTTTCATATGCAGCGCACTTCAAGATTTGCTCAGTGCAGAAATTCCAAGCTCTCACCAGTACCTTATTACTTATTTTTTCTCTCTTCGTACACACCTCTGTCTGATTATTTAGTGTGCGATAATAGGGTTTGATTCACATGAACTAGTAAAATTTATTAAAGGTCATTTAAAAAAAAAACGGTGCATAAGAAGTCGAATTAAATAACGAGATTAAATAAAAGGTAAATACAAAATAAATTTAAAACTGAATGAATACTTCATATCAATTGATGTCCAATTTAATGTTCAATATTCCATTGTTCCCTTTTGATATCAAATAAAGAACGGTATCTTTACAACATATTAAAAAAAAGTTTTCAGTAAAAAGATTTGTTTTTTGTTAGAAATGAACGATGTGGAGGACTTAAGGAGCGATCAGCCGCCTTTATCTTTTGAAAATGGTATGTATAATATACTTAATTATAAGCTAGTAAATAATTTACAATAAACTAATTTTACAGTCCCGGAAAGTAGTGGAGAGTTACAGAAACGCATTCAAATAGAAGAAATTATTTCAAATTCCATTAATCAAAACATTTCGCTTGAAGTCTTGAAAAAGTTGGCTATATCTTCGTTTGGGCTGGTCAACGATAAGCTTAGAAGGATTTTGTGGCCATGTCTTGCTGGGGTTGATGCAAGCAGTTTAGAACGAGTTCCAACATTGAACGCTTTTCAAAATCATCATGAATATAATCAGGTTGTATTAGATGTAAATCGATCTTTGAAAAGATTTCCTCCAGGAATACCGTATGAGCAGCGAATCGCACTTCAAGACCAACTTACAGTTCTTATTCTCCGCGTAATTAAGAAATATCCAAACTTGCGCTATTATCAGGGCTATCATGACGTTGCAGTTACTTTTCTCCTAGTTGCGGGAGAAGAAGTCGCCTATGCCATAATGGATAAACTTTCAACTACTCATTTTTCAGAGTGTATGCAAGAAACCATGGAAGCTACACAAAAGCGATTAATGTTCATATGGCCTGTGGTCAAGTTCGAAAATGCGGACCTTTACGAATTTTTGCAAGCTTCTTCAGTCGGTACTTTGTTTTCTTTACCATGGTATTTGACTTGGTTTGGACATAGTTTGAATTCATACAAAACTGTAGTTAGATTATATGACTACTTTTTAGCATCCCCGATATATACACCAATTTTTCTAACCGCTGCTATATTATTACATCGGTCCAAAGAAATACTCAAGGAGGATTGTGACATGGCAGCTGTACATTGCCTGCTATCAAGGGTATAAAAAGAGAAAAATTATGAACTTAATTATAATAAACTTTTTTCGTTTAGTTGCCTGATGACTTACCATTCGAAGATCTCATAAAAGCTTCTACTAAACTTTACGCTAAATATAGCTTAACCCTTTTAGAAAATGAAGTGGAAATACTTATGCATCAAGAGTAAGTGATAAGAATCGATCTATTGTGTATTGGATGGTATTAGTATTGAAACTTTTTTTCGTTAGAAGAGAAAATCGGTTGATGGAAGAAAAAATGCTTTTGGAACGTCGAAAAAAGATTACCCGTCCTGTAATTAAACCACGAAATTTCGAGATAAAAAGATGGCTTCCTAATTTGTTGACGTCAAAATCAGTTGTATTGACAACAGCAGTTTCGATTGTAGTTGGTGTTTGTGCGTATTATTACAAAAATCAGTATTTGGCGGCAGGTATCAGCTGAGTTCCAAACGATATATTTAATGTTAGATGCATTTTGAATTTTAAACCAAGACGCCCAATATTATTTTCTATTTTTAAGTTTACTTTCTAGATCGTTCTTGTTTTTACCTTTTATATAATATACATTTATCTTTTAATTTATAATAAATAAATAAAATATCCAGCACAGATTGAAATGTTCTCAAACCGTAATTTTATTATACAGTGCTCACTTTGTGACAGATAATCCAGGGAATATTACAATAGTCCCCGTCATGTTAGCGCAGAGCGTTGCGGTCCCCGGCAATCCGCCGAAACCCCGCATAGAATAGCAGAGGTCCGCGACCGGGGAAGGGGAACGGGCGCTACAGGCTGTAAGGAGGCACAATGAAGTGAAACGGATCCAGTCTTTTTAGGAAGCTTGTAGCATTGAGTAGGAGGATCGCCTTTGTTGAGCCAGACGATCAAGTGTTAGAGCGTTTCTAAAAAAAACAAGAAAGGAAAGCTTACTTCGGGCGGAGCCAAAGTTTATATACCCTTGCAGTTAAAACCGGATATATATCACAAACATGGGATATAGTTGGTCGATCCTTATGGGAATATGAATATAGAATCCAATTTATTACAATACAAAATCTAAAACCAATTAATTACAATAAAAAATCTAAAAACCAATTAATTACAATAAAAAATATAAAAAAGTCCTAAACTTCTATCTTTAAAAATAACAATTTTGGTATTTCTACCAAAAACCATTTCCGATCGTTCAGTTATATGGCAGCTATAAGATATAGTCGGCCGATCGATCGCAAAGTTTTATGTCGATAGCTTCAAAAGTGAGAGACTAGTTCGCGTAGAAACAGTCAGACAGACAGACGGACATGCTCATATAAACTCAGGAGGTGATCCTGATCAAGAATATATATACTTTATAGGGTTGGAAATGTCTCCTTCACTGCGTTGCACACTTTTGGACAAAATTATAATCTGTTCATAACGAGCGGCCGACTACATCCTATAGCTGCCATATAACTGAACGATCGGAAATGGTATTTGGTAGAAATATCAACTTTCGTATTTTTGAAGATAGAAGCTTGTGACTTTTTTAGATTTTTTATTGCAATTAATTGGTTTTATTATGATGTTATCATAAGGATCGGCCAACTATATCCGATGTTTGCGATATATATCCGGTTTTAACTGCAAGGGTATATCAACTTCGGCTCCGCCCGAAGTTAGCTTTCCTTTCTTGTTATACCCTTGCAGAGGGTATTCTAATTTTGGTCAAAAGTGTGCCACGCAGTGAAGGAGACATCTCCGACCCTATAAAGTATATATATTCATGATCAGGATCACCCCCCGAGTTGATATGAGCATGTCCGTCTGTTCGTCTGTTCGTCTGTCTGTCTGTTTCTACGCGAACTAGTCTCTCAGTTTTAAAGCTATCGACTTGAAACTTTGCACACACCCTTCTTTCCTTTGCACGCAGTATATAAGTCTGAATCGGCCGACTATATCCCAAATCTGCCATATAACTGATTGACCGGAAATGGTATAACTTCGGTGTTTTTAGAGTTAGAGAGTTCCAATTTTACACGAGCGCTATTTTTGGCAAAATAATACGACATGTTAAATTTCGTAAGGATCGGCCGACTATATCTTATAGCTGCCATATAACTAAACGATCGGAAATGGTTTTTTGTAGAAATACCAACTTTGGTATTTTTGAAGATAGAAGCTTGAGACTTTTTTTAGATTTTGTATTGTAATAAATTGGATTATATATTCATATTCCCATAAGGATCGGCCAACTATATCCGATGTTTGCGATATATATCCGGTTTTAACTGCAAGGGTATATAAACTTCGGCTCCGCCCGAAGTTAGCTTTCCTTTCTTGTTTTTTGTTATAATTGTATAAACTTTAACAAAGGCTTTTTATTTTTTTGAAGAACTGCATTTTTTTTAATGTTTAAACTAGGTTACAAAAATACAAGGACAATACAAAATTATGCTTTTTTAGTTCCAAATTTAACGTTTGTAATATTTAATTGTTTTTGCCAGTTGAGCTATTTTGTAAAAGGCTTTAAAGAACTTCATGTTAACTTTAGAATTTTACCTTTCAAATTGTTTCTCTTATTTCGGTTTGGTTTTATTGTTATTAATTTCATCTTGGCTATTTTCCTTTTTATTTATACTATTAAAAATAGATAATTTTTTATCTAACTCCTTCATGCATGAATTGGGTAAATTGTTATATAACTAATTGAAATTACGAAATCGAAATTTTTGACTATTATTTTTGGTCCTTTCTTCCTGAAATATTTTACGTTTCCCCAAAGGACACCACGATAAATGAAAGATTTTGTAATTTTGTCTTGAAGGTTCCACATATTTTCCTCTTTCTTTCCTCCAATCTTGGATTGTATTTACCAAGGCTGTAGAAATAATTGTTTTTTTTTTTTTGGGATTGGATCTTGTGCGACCTGACACGATCCATCCGAAAATCGTCTTGTGTCCGTGAAGTAAAAAGAGGTTTTACTATCTTCGGCACAATAATTTGTGGATATAAATCTGCACCAATTATTAGATCAATTTGACCAGGTTCATCAAAATTGGGATCGGCTAAATAATAGCCTTTCCAATAAAATTTATTATTATTTAAATTTTTTGTGGAAAGAGTTTGTTTTAAATTTGGTATAATAATTGCGTTTGTGCAAAATTTTTTTGAATATTTACTGTTATTCTTGAGTGTCAATTTTAATCTGTGATTTGAAACACAGGAACCTGTTGGTAATACTCCACTTATTTGTGTGGGTGATTTTATTATAGGCAATTTTAATTTTTGATATGCCTTTTTAGAAATTAAAGTACTTTGTGACCCATTGTCAATCAAAGCTCTGAATTTTTTAAACTCACCATCTTGACCTTTTATTTGAAAATAAGCGGTGGCCAACAACACTTGTTCAGAAGTCATGCACGTATTCACTATTGCCTTGTTCATGTGAATCATGCTATGGTGATTATTTCTATGGCAAAACGAGCATTCTAGCTCGCTTGTACATTTGATGTTTAAACTGTGCTTTAAACATCTGTAGTTCAAATTAAATTTTTTACCCACGTCCGTTCTGTCCTGTGGCCTTAATGCTTTAAATTTATAGCAAAGAATTAATGATGCCCGGGAATTTTGCACAACGGGCGTGTATGGTTAATTGTGTTATTTTTTATTATTTTCTTTGTGGGTAACTCATTTCCCACTGATGTCATCGAACTAAGCCGTTGATCTAGAAATTCTATGACATCCTTTAAATTTCATTATTCATAAATTTCATTGATTTCATTAGGTTTTTTAACTTGGCCCTACTATTGTTGTAGGGACTCAATATTTAATTACTTTAAAATAATATGCGCAAAATTGCAATCTGATTCTTTGGTCAGATTTGCGTTTAGACGCATCATATAAATTGATTCATTTATTGAATCAATTGTATTTTTTAGATGCCTATATGAGTCCAAATTTATTTTTGGAAGCTCAATGAGACGATTAAGCTGATCTGAGAATATTTTTCTATTGTTCTCATATCGCTTAATCAGCAATTCCCAGGCTGCATCGTATTTGTTGCGTATTTGTTGGGAAACCACATTTCGTGCTTCCCCTTTTAGAGCATTTTTAAGGTAGCTTAGCTTCAAGGATGGACTTAAATCCTTTCTTGAATGCACAAGCTCCTTAAATAATTCGTAAAAATGGTCCCAATCTTTGGAGTTTCCAAAGAAATGTGGGACCTCAATTTTTGGTAGGCTAGGTAGTTCGTCCATTCTAGGGCTACCACCTTCTACCTTTTCACCTATGTTTTCTTTGATTTTGGTATCCATTAGTTCGATGTGTATTTTGACATCATCGACATCATTTGACATATTTATTATTGAGCCCTTCAATATTTATTAGATCGGACACTGTATCTATTTTGTTGAGCAACACTTTTAATTTTTTAATTCTTATTGGAAAGGTTTCTATTTTCCTTTCCTGAATTTCTATATAAGTTTTCTCGAGGTAATCCTCGAGGTTCTTAATAGCCTCCTCAAGCCTCGTAAAAAGCTCATTCTACCCAATTATTCCTTTCATTTTGTCGTTTGCGAACTTAAATTTCGATAGCATGCTATCGTAATTATACCCTTACAGAGGGTATTATAATTTTGGTCAAAAGTGTGCAACGCAGTGAAGGAGACATCTCCGACCCTATAAAGTATATGTATATATTCTTGATCAGGATCACCTCCTGAGTTGATATGAGCATGTCCGTCTGTCCGTCTTTGAACTTCTTTCCTTTGCACGCAGACTGTATCTGGTATATCTGGAGATGGTATAACTTTGGTGTTTTTAGAGTTAGAGAGTTCAAATTTTATAAGAGAGCTATTTTTGGCAAAACATTACGAAACGCCGCTTTCTCGCTTTGCAAGCCGCAAATTCGTCGATCGCTTGTCTGAAATCGATCTTACTTGCTCGCTCATTTTCAATCGATAATAATGCCAATCCACACAATCGCTCTTACCCCTTAGAGCTTCTCAAATGATGTTTAATCAATTTCAATTTCGAAAAAGATCTTTCCGCCGTTGCAACTGTTTGCACGCCTTCACATACCTTGAACAGTTCCCGTAACAAGAGACGATGCAGACGTGGATGATAACCAATTAACGAATTTACCGGAAATCTTTTTTGCTTCATTCTCTTTCTTTCGTTTTGCCTCTCTTTTTTCGCTCAGCTGGGATAGATACGTTTCATCGCGCAAGTTAAAAATTATATAATTGTACGCAGAATAATTATACATTTGTCTGATTCTATTGTTTGTCATTAGCACCTCAAATGAGCAGCTGATTCGCGTCAATCGAGGAACAGTGTTCGGGACCACTATACGCGCGGGAAACTCAAACGTTCCACACATAGACAACCCTAAGCGTAGTTTAGAATTTGACAAACGACTTCCGTATAGGGGGCCCCAAATTTACTTGTTGCCCCAGGGCCCCCGAGGCTCTAGCTACGGCCCTGATTACGACATGCCAAATTTCGTAAGGATCGGCCGACTAAATCTTATAGCTGCCATATATTTGGTAGAAATATCAATTTTCGTATTTTTGAAGATAGAAGCTTGGGACATTTTTTTAGATTTTTTATTTTAATTAATTGGTTTTATTATAATGTAATCA